AACTCGAGGCCTCCGTGAGCGCCACACGATGACCTCGAAGCTCCGAGCACAGGCATTTATCACTGTGCAACCTGCCTTCTAGCGTTCAGATGCATCTCACAAAGACGATGGCACTCCACTAAGTGCATGTACACACATGTTGTTCCTGCTTGGGGACATAAGTGCTAGCTGCCACGAAATATCGAACATGTACTCTACTTTTTTTGCATTTGCCACCTCGACCTGGTTCAGGACCAATCTCGAAGGCATCGACCTGCGGACAGTCTGTGATACAAACGCTGATGTCCACCGCAACAGCTTGCGCTGGGTCGCACTAGCGATGCAGATGCCGACAGGATGATGAGAGAAGCAGCAGCACACCTCGCGGCTAAGACGGAAGACGACGGGCTGGGCTCGTCCGTCTCCACCTAAAGCGCCAATGACAGTCACAACTCAAACGAACATGGAATTTCTGCAATGCTGGACGAGCTCTGTCCTAACGCAAAACTTTTTTGCACTAATTAAATAAAACCCTTCTAGTCGATTCTAGCCTTCAAGGGATTTGGGGGCGGGCGGCTTCTGGCTATGGCACTATTCCAGGCCCCCAGGTTGGACCTTTGAACTTCATGATGTCTGAGGCGCACCAAGTTTAGAGTATACTCAGAGTCTTCTCTGCGTTACGCACACCGCTAACCGAGCACAACAAGAGCACACGGATGGAAAAGATGTGGGCTTCTGGCTTTAGAGATTGAAACCGCCACGTGTCAGTGCTGTTTCTGTTCTTCACTGACATCTGTGCATCGGTGGAGCTGACATCTTGACGCCGTTGGCCAGCATATCGGTGCGTTGGCAACTCTGTGCAAGCCGAGTTGTCTCGCCCACGGCTTGCAAGGCAATCTCATACATGTGTAGGTTCTGTTAGTCGAACTCTGTCTATCTATCTTTATCTATCTACCTATCTATCGATCTTCCTCTATGCTGATCTGTCTATCTACCTGTCTTCTATTTGTCGATCCGGCTATCCATTATCTATCTGTGTGGCTGTCTATCTGCTTAACGATCTACCTGTCCATCTGCTTGTCTCTCTATCAATCTATTTAGCTGCCTGTCCATCCAACTGAATATCCAATTGTATACCTCGCTATCTATCGACCTACATCGCATCTAGCTATCTATCTACCTATTTATCTACCTGTCTACTGCTTTGCCAGAAGTGCGGCTCAGCATGCAGGTTTGCAGGTCATACATACACATTAGTCAACGGAAGTGACCCTGGTATGGGTATGAGTTTCATAAGGGCACCAAAGATCCAAGAAGGTCCACGGCATGCACATCGAAATGAACCATCTACATATCGCATGAGATGGCACGAGGAAACAAAGCTCACGCCCGAAGCACGTCTTAGGACACATAGCCTGAGCAAAACACGCCAGCCTTCTTAGAAGACATGTGTCTGTGTATGTGTATGTGTGTCTGTCTGTCTGTCTGTCTGTGTCTGTCTGTGTCTGTCTGTCTGTCTGTCTGTCTGTCTGTGTCTGTCTGTGTCTGTCTGTGTCTGCCTGTGTCTGTCTGTGTCTGTCTGTGTCTGTCTGTGTCTGTCTGTGTCTGTCTGTGTCTGTCTGTGTCTGTCTGTGTCTGTCTGTGTCTGTGTGTGTGTCTGTGTGTGTCTCTGTGTGTGTCTCTGTGTGTGTGTCTGTGTGTGCCTGTGTGTGTGTGTGTGTGTCCGTGTATGTCTGTGTGTCTGTGTGTGTGTGTGTTGGTTTACGTCTTAAACTAGTTTGGATCGTTCATGTTGCTAAATCAGCCCCTTGTCTTGCTTGCACTGCGCTGACCCTGAAGGGACAGGATCGCACCAGCGAAGGTTGGCTTTTGCAGTCCGCTCTGCTCAAGCGGCATAGTCAGCAACTCCAAACTCGCAAGCACTTGGCACAGTCCGGTCGGGCACTTTGAGTGCAAGGCGTAGAGCTTCAACGAGCCGGCCACGGACTCCAATTTCCACGAAGGCCTTACCAAGGCAACCCTGGAGCAGGCAATGCAACGTTAAGCAGCATGGTGACTCTGGCGGTATAGCTGCGAAAGCCCCAAGAACAATTTCAATGATACTTTGAGGATCTCCGGCACGCCTTCACGATCTCTCGAAAAGCAGCTTGGTCCTGCATAAAGTGCGCGAAGCACTCAGGCGACAAACAACAAGGGGGTTCCAGCCGCAGTGCTTTGCCCTTCTCAAATCGTTCGAAGCCGCTTAGGACACCAATTCAACTGAGCATCTGAGCAAGCAAACGTAACTCACCTCGAGGTTCGAGCCCGGCACAGAGGCCGAAGACCTGGCATTGGCCATAGCTGCACCAATCGCGAGTTCTTGCCATGCTGAACATTCTCAAAGCCAGCTAGATGTCTGAAGATGTCTGAAGCCTGACGGCGCACTTGTCCTTGGCTGGGGTCCTCGTTGTTGGCACTGTCACTCTCCCTCGTCGGTTGCAAGAAGACTCTCCCCTGCACCTGTCCTTAGGGCTGCCTTCAATAAGTCTCCAGGGCCGACGCGCCCGGCCTCCAGCACCATCGGAACGAGCAATCCGACTTGTCACATGGGCACGCATGCGGCTTCACATGCCTACATGCTAAAGATCACGTTGGAGGTGCTGGTGGTCAGGACAATGCCGAGCACAAGTGCACAAATAAAAATCAGGACTACAATCCCCGACCACCACGACCGGGCTGAATCTCCCACCGAACCGCCGCCAACAGCGCCGGAGATAGCCGAGAAGTAAGAAGATACGACGGACCCAGCCTGCAGGCAGAGTCAGCTGTGCATCGCCTGAACGCCTAAGATGTAGCTAGACGCGAAGGGATACAGCTCTACACACCAAAAAGCAACTTCAGTGCGACATGTCAGATGAAGACATGGCAAGTCGGATACGCTTTTGCGATACGAGCCTCATTGCTGCCCTCGCTGATGCGCCTTAGCAGAAGCAAAAGATCCCACAAGGCTCAAGGCAACATCTCTCGTGGTACTTGGGCACTGTCTGACACTGTCTTGTTTTCACCGGTCACCTCCCACTCATCTCTCCAGAGACGCTTTGGGCGTCCCTGCGACAGTGTGTCGCCATCGGCCGCTGTCCTGCAAGGCTTTGAGCACGACCCGGTGTGGTCTCTCATGTGTTATCAGGCGTGCCTGCGTGGCTCTCAAAGCTTCGCAGTCAAGTAGAAACAGACCACGCCGAAGCCAAAGCCAAGGCCGAGCCGAGCATTTCTTGACTCTTCGATCGTCTCCTCCAAGCCCAAGCCTAGTTACCACCGGTAAACTGCATTGAGTCCGGCATCGACGATGAGCCAGCTTGTGCGACAGCAAGATGGCGGAAGCGGCCGAAAAACCAACGACTAGGACTGCACATTTCTTTTCCATCACTGACCTTCTCTCCTCAAGTAATGCTGCCGCCATGCGCATTGCTCGGAAATTGTAGGAGGCGCAACAATTCGTCAGTGCCGCCCACTCCCACTGGTTTGTGGTCGCATTCGTGTTCACACAAACCCCAGAAAAATCCGCACAAATACAGGCTCATGTGCATCTAGTAGCGACTAACATGCAAAAAAATGCTAACATTAATGGGAAGGTCGAACTTTCCCTGAACTCGCTTTGAAAGACTTGGAAGTCAGAATCCAAGTCAATCCCTCAGCCCCCAAGCGCTTGTCAGGTGACGGACGCAATCAGAATCGCAGATGAAGATAACAGAGAGACTGCCTGGGTGGGTTGAGGTGGGTGGGCAAGAAGCTGGTACCCCAGGACCGTCGCTCCTGCCCGGACGCATGGCTACACTGGCATCGGCTGGTGGGCTGAGAAGCGCTTACGCTTCTACTTACGTGCTTGAGTCAACAAACCATGCCAGAAGGACTAACATACCCCTTCTAATTTGTTCACGAGTGCATCGATCACAAGGCCAGAGTGTTATGCACCGAAGCAAAGTTAAGTCTAGCCATGAGTCACATATACCGCGCCCCTCGCAAATCTGGGGTGGCTGGCCTTGTGCGCATGAGAAATAGCTGCGGCACGAATCTTCCAATCTGGTTGGCATCCAATGTCGTGGTCTAGTCTAATACCAGCATAATCTAAGCAGTGCACGGGAGCAGCAATGCGAACTCCCTACCAAGCTCTCGATTACAGTAGAACCAGCGGTTCAAAGGACGATATACAGACATGCCATGGCAAGTTCCAAAAGCATGTGGCCCTTGCTTGCTTTGCAACCGCCCTGGACCCGACCATGGATATCTAAAGTTCGGCAGCGAGCTTCGGGGAAGGAGTGTAAGAGTGTAACGGCCTTAACGCCATGTGCAAGCAGAAGTGCACCCTTGAGACGATGTTCGGAAGTGGTTCGAAATTTCCCGGATCTTGAGAGCGTGCAGAGCAAACATCGCACGCTTTTGCAACGCCTGAAAGCTTCACGGGGGTTCATAGACTCCCTAGTCCCATGGCAACTGGCTGACACAGCTGATCTGGACGATGCGGGCCACTTGTGAATAGTTTCCATTCGGACATAGATCCGTGAATTCATCGCAAGAATGTCCTTCAGAGCTATGCACAGGCACCGAACCGTACAACTAATGCGACTGACATATGGCAGAATCTGGCAGCATGAGGCCGTAGAACAAAATTGCGGCTCCCTTGCTACTTTGGCGTAAGCATCTAGAATCTAAAAGCAGAATCTAAAAAAGCAACCGAGCTTCATACACTCAGTATGTTTTGGGCACTCCTAGCCGCAATACTTGAGGCCACTAGAAGGGCAGTCCGCCGTCATAGAGGCATGGCAACCCCATCCACGCCTGCTCTCCACAGAACGCTGATGCATCGGTCCCATGGCCGCTTTCACAAGAATGACGCATATCGGCGTATCGGATGCTCAACCAGTGAAACTACATTATTACATGTTTGATATGGATGCTGAAGCTTACGCAACGCAGGCCAATCTGGACTGAGCTGGCCAGCATCATGCGATCAGGGAGTCGTTCGGCTCGAATTGCCACATCTTTCAGCGGCCACCTGTAAATGAGCAGGAATGCCTCTCTTGGGGCCCCCATGGGCCCCCTCTTGAGGAGGGTCAGCTTCTCTAACTACCAGCCCAATGAATCCAACGATGCTGACATGTTGGCGCGCAATTGGATGTGCAAATGCTCGTGCACCATGCCCAAGAATTCTTTAAAAGACACGATCCCAGCCATGTAGTTGCTGGCATCAAGAATAAAGTCGCCTCGGCCCGGCCGGGGCGTCCCAAGGTTCCCCTCCTCTGTCCCCCTGGACGCTCGCCCCCTCCCCTCTTTCCCTTTTGGCTCGTAAGATGCGTGCTTACATTCTTGCGGCTGCTGCAGCATCTCCTAGGAACTTTGAGTAGCAGTTCGAGTGTTTGAGGGTCGCAACCCGCTTCCGCTGAACTCAACGGCACATCTAAAACCGCACCAGCACAGCAACCACCAGCACACCAAGGTTTGCCTGTCGCCGTGCTCCCAGATTTACCGGCCCCAAGCAGACGGCACGGAGCGTTAACGAACCACCTACAGGCATCTCTTGCTTCTTTGCCTGTCTGCTCCATGGCCACATCAATCAAATCCTCGTCCTGCTGCATAGCTATGCATAGCTGCACGGCATCAAACTAGATTCAGAAAGCTCTCCTCGAGTCCCAGCTTCTCGGCCGTGTCATCGGCAGCGATTCGCTCTCCGTCCACCATGAACCGAACCTGCCAAACGTGAAGAGCTCAACTGCCGTCATGTAGCTGCTATCTTGAGAGTGGATGCTAGCAGGCCAGGCAATACCACTTCGGACCCTGTCAGATTTAGTCGGTACCCTGCCGCACCTTTTCTATGTGTTCTTTAGCCGGCCTGGGAAGCCTGTAGGCCCAGGCGGCTGCAATATGCATCCATGAGCTTCCTGCAAAGCAATTCGACTGCAAAGCTTTCATTTGCCTCAGTCCGAGCCTCAGAGGAGTTGTCTTCTTGATTTTGAACTGGACCTCACGACTGCGGCCCTACGTCCAGATCTCAGAAGCCACTCAGGCCCAAGCCTCGCTGCCTTGCTGGTCTTTCACCTGCAATGCAAGGCGACATAGTTGTATCGCCGGCAAGGAATGGCTGCTGCAGCAACCAGCATCTTCCGAGCAGAACCATTTCTGGACAGGGGCCTTCAGCTGGATGTGCTGCGGGGCATCAGCAGCCTGTTCACAGATCGGCCTGCAACCCTTCTGCGTGCGACAGTAGGATGCATCGCCTCAGCCATCTTTCGAAGCCTGGCACAGGTTTTGCCACCACGTCTACAGCCTACTCTGGGAGTCGCCTTTGAGGATAGTGGATGGCGGCTGGGAGAGCTTTGACGAGGCTTGAGGCAAGCAGCAACAATTGAAGGCCGCTGCAGTGCCCAGGGCAGTGTGTGGCAGTCGAACAGTCGAACTTGCGCAAATCATCAAGACTGCCTGCGCGCCAATCTTAACACGGTCGGCTGATTGCCACTGTTCGAAGCGTGTTCTGACAGACTGTCAGACACTGAGGTCGGGTAACTGCCACCCGACCGCTACTGAAGCACGAGGCGTGACTCTCCAAGGCGGCAACTGCTCTCATATCTGTGGAACTCGGAATTTGGAATACAGCGTGTGAGTGGCTGAGGTTGGAAAGCCGCCTCTTGCGCACGATACGGTCTCTCGGAGCCGCTCTGCGGCTTTGCCGTGCAGAGCTCGGGCCTCTCTGCTTCGCTCCTTCCCGTGATCCATCTCAGAACGGTCTTGGCTGCCGAGATCATACAGGGTTATTCTGAACCATCGCAGAGGTCGATGACGTCTAGCTTAACCATCTGCTATCTAGTTTCGGCGAAAGCTCAACGCAAGATGACATATCACATCACATTCAAGCTTGGAGGGAACTGCAGAGCAGTCTGCACATTCTCCACAGATTTGGAGTGAGACAAATGTACTTAAAACGATGATGCTGACACATGCACGGTGTGGGAACAGCGCCTGGCACCGCGCGGCTATCACCCCAGAGGCGAATCCTTCAAGCGCTCAAGCCTCTGCGAGTCTGTACATCATGGATTGGGATCGCTGCGAGAGATGCTCCAAACAGGTGCATCATGAGCATCATAACTTGCCTGTTCTGTCCACCTAGTGGCACGCAGTTCCGTTCCAGCGACGTTCAAACCAGGATCATGCATGCGACTGACAAACTGAAGCACATGCAGTAGCCGTACAGACTCCAGTATCCGTTCCCGAACATGCCTATAGTGGCCTAGTGCAGACCGGAACGGATGGAGAATGTGAATGCGAGCGACAGGGAACCGCCCGATGCCTGCGGCAACGATTCGGAGCCTGAAACTGGCGCTCTCGGGGGGTTCGCAGATCGACGAGACTCAGTCGGCGCAGCTTGCTCGACAAAGAGGGCAGATGGTTGCTCGTTGCCTCAGGAGATCTTCGAAGCGGAAGGGGCAGAGTCTTTGCACCCGAAGTCAGGATCCGACATCCAACCTGCCACACACCTTAGAAGGTCAGGGCCACGGTGTGGATGGCTGTGGAAAACGAGTCTCCAGAGGCTCCAGCTCCACATGAAAAAAATGTCCGCAGGGCAATGCCGTGAGAAGCTCCCCCTCCTGCCAGCTTTCTGCAAATTATCTTTTGAGTGCGGCTGCGCGCCCAAACCAAACTGCAGTCCTCAAAGGCTTCTAAGCATATGGAGCACTGCTGTGTGTCTTTGGCAGTGAAACGCACCTTGCAATTGTACATCAGTCGATCAAGAGCCAAGCTGTGTTCAAACAAAGCATTGGCCTTGGGAAGGGCATAGACCTCCTCTTCAGTTAGACAGGCGACATCCTCAGCGGAAACACGAGCAAGTCACGCTCGGCAGAAGGCTAGGAAGGGCCGACAGATCTGAGGTTTCGACAGGTATGAGATCTGGAATCTCCAGGACCCGCCGAATGCTGCCTGCAGTGTGACGTGACCCTAGTCCTACTTTGAACTCCAGTCGCTGCAGTGCCGCTGCTGGATCATTGCTACAGCAACAGCCGTGCGGGGATGTTCTGGACATCATCCCTCAGCCGGTGCATCAAAGACGAGCCAAGCTAGAAGGGCACACTGCCAATCTTGTCACCTGAATGTCTCAATTCGGGCGTGTTCACACCAAGCCCGAACCGCAAATCAAGAGACAGAGGGCTGCAGCTTTGAATTCAAGAAAACTGAAAAGCTGAATTGCTTGTTTCCGAGGTTGGGCGGGCGGGGACCAAGCAGGTGGGAATTCCCAAAGCCTCCCTTGCAAGCTGAGGTCGGCAAATCTAGAAGTCGCATATGAGTCCACAACTCGGAGACTGGATGCCTTATTTCATGGGCCTCCCAAGTTGGCCGGAGAAAAACGCTTGGAATGTCTCCACCCTAAAACGCTGCAAGAAAGCAGTTAGCAGCATACCCTGCAATGGGACAACTGCGTGGGCTCTACTGGTCATACTTGGGGGCCAGGGCTTGCAGGGAGGAGGGCGAGAAGACGGGAATGGCATAATCCGCGGAGATGTTTCAGGGGAGGGGCTACTCTTGGGTATTCTGCTTTCTAGCCCTGCCACAGCCTATAGCGTTACTGCCAGACAAGGCTTGAAATTGCATAAACGGAATGGCAAGCTTTTTGCCAAAACCTTCAGGGCCTTTCGAGCCGAAACCCACCAAACCAAGACATCCGGGGTTGCGGCTACGACCATGGACTAGGAGGAAGGTTTTGCAAGGCTCCCGCACCCTTGCCGAAGCCTGCCGGCAGAAATCCAAAGCCCCCCTCTCCAAACAGACTTCACTCACTTGCTAGGGACGACGAAACTCGAAACTTGCGAGGTGGAAGCCAGAGAAACTCACTGGCTCTTAGGATCGTTGCAACTGGCAGGATCAATCAAGGCAGGTAGCCACCGAAATCTGGGGGCTCAGAGCGGGGTGTAAGGAGGCGTGAATACCTCTACCCCGGATCCCGCACCGCTGCCCTGATTCGGGGGGACGCCACCAACGACTTGCTTATCAGAAAGAGCCTGAAAGTGCTTGAAGTCTGAAAGCTGATGAAAGTCAAGTCTTGCATGCTTCGGAAGTGACCTTCCTAAGTGGTTAGGACGGTTAGGAGATCTAGGGTGCCCGGAATCTGTGCAGAAGATCGAAAGAAAAGCCGGCTAACAGGGTGCCCTGAGCGAAAAGTACAGTTTCAGCGTCTACAAGCTTCAGGTCGTCACTGGCGACATTCTCGTCCAACTGGTGCTCCAGCGCCCACCTACAAAACGTGATGTCCAAGATCCCCTCATCTGCACATCAGCTGTTTGAAGAGAAGCGATGTCGGGCCTCTGTAACAGCGAGCCCATGTTCTCGATCCTGCACCACACGCTGCTCCAGTGGATCGGTTTCAGCTCACAATTCCTCTCCTGGGGCTCGCGAAAGAGCGTGGGCTGACGGCCACGCTCGCCCCATCTTAGCGAGATCGTGCTGGTGCTGGGGCTCGAGATTCATGACTCATGTTGCTACATGTTACGTATCATTGCCAGAACTTCACAGCAAGCCGCTCTCACGGCCCCGAGACAGAAAACGAAGAAACCAACGAGCCTTGGCCTTAGACACTGGTGGCAGATTCCTTGCCCTACGCAATTAAATCCGCGTCAGTTGTTCACCTTTTGCCTGGAACTGCTACTGTCACGCCCCACAGAGTGGGAACCTGGGAAACGTTGGCCTCTACTGCTCCAGACCGCGGCTAATCACAAGCCCAACACTGCTTCGCAGTGATGTCGCATAGCTAAAGGTTCCGGACGTCTTCGAGGATCTTCGAGGCTGACTTTGGGGCTTTGGGGAATGTGGTGCTTGCTGGCAAGTCTTGCCGACGCCAATTGCTGTGAAGAGCTTGGGCGGCGGCAGACGATGTGCATCGACTGCCCATCGTCCTTAGCACCAAGACATCGGCAGGACAGTCCTCCGCAACATGTCCTGTCCGCAAACCCAAGAAGGCGGTTGCAGAAGCGCCAGCACAGGCGATGGCACGAAGCACTGGCTTTCGGTGTGCTAGCAAATTTGTGTGGCTGGTTCCTGGGTCGGCGGAGCGCAGATTGTGAATGGATGCGGCAGGTGTCTAGATTGCACAGGTTCGAAGATGTGTTGCAGTTGTACCTTTAATTTCAAACAGCAGACGTCCCACTCGCCTGCCTCGACACAGACACCACGAGACACCACGAGACACCACGAGGGCCCGTCGCAAACAACCACGTGATTAAATCACACGCATCTGTCAGGAACGTACAAGTCCTGGAGTCCTGCATCCATGGCGGCTTTAGTTTCGAGTCGCTACTGAAACTCCTCGCTCACACGGCCCACCATAACGACTCAACACGTAAGAATATGTGCTACTGCTACCATAAGGCTCACGGTGTTAATCACCGTCAGCTTCGTTCGATCGAAGCTGCAATTGACTTGACATGACCTAACCATGCCTCGAGGGCGCGGCACTCTGGGGAGATACCGGTAGCTCATCGGCAATGTCCACGACAGAAAGTGTCTCCTGGCGTTTGAATCCACACTTGAGAACGGGCTGCCCCACTTTCCCTCAAGGCCTCTGCTGCATCGAACCCTCGAGCCATGCTGACTGTCTCAGATCGGGCACCTGAGCAGACTTCTACGGAACTCTACAAGAGTAGCGCTTGCCGGCACAGCTTTGACAATGTTTGACATGCCCGGGTGCTGCAAGGACCGAGGTCGCTGCTATTTGGCGCACTCGCACTTTCCACAGACTGTGCATCAAAAAGCTCCTGACGAATCCGACGAAAACGACACGACACCGACTGCCAGGCCCTGGCCGTGATTTTCCCTTCTAAAACTTATGTTCCCCCTCTCCTGGATGGAAGCCTCCAAACTTCCAGCCTGCCCGGGCTTAATAGCGCAGAGGCGCTAGCGGCCGCTAGCGGTGGGTTCGTGCTGGTGAGTTGCCCAGCGCATCCGTAAAGGGAATTCGGTACATGCATTGCCTTCAAATCTTTCGAAAATCTTGGCTGGAGCACAGGGAAGATTCTGCCAAGACGACTCTGTAACCTAGCTGCCGGACGGCCTACAAGAGCTCGAAGCGAGGACACGGCATGTCAAATGACCACAAAAGTCACGGCCTGCAGGGAAGTGTGTCCGGGCCTCAATCGAGCAGCTCCATGAACACACACACACACACACACTTGCATGAATCTCGTGATCCAGATGGCAGCCGGACACTTGACTCCTTCTTTCTTTTCTTTCATGAATGTAATTATGTCTAGATGTTATTGCTGCTGATTTGTACTGTCTGAATTTACAGATCTCCGGGCACATCTGACAAGGTTCGTTTCTTCAGGAACATGACTGAATCAAAAGAAACGGCCTTTTGCTGTGTTCAAGCCGGCTGTCAAGCGAGCGATCACATGTACATGAGTGTGTCTCGGAACCCCTAAACAAATGAACTCCGCTTTGCGCTCTGGGAGTTTGCTTGTACATCAGGGATTACAGTACGCACATGGCAGGAATTTCTTGCCACCTTGCGCGTACACACAGGTGCCGCGGTGGTAACGTTTGCCGTCACGGGTAGTCCAGAGTGCACGGTCACCTGAAGCTTCATTTCGAGAAGTTGTTCTTCCAGACGTAGAGGACGAAGCTGTTGACGGTCCGTCGTTTGACGTGTTCACAAAGACTTGGCAGGTTGCAGACCGTTCTCAAGGAGAGTCGGACATAGGTGTCGGTGGAGAAGCCGATGATCGTGTAGCCGAAGGAGTCGTCGATGTCGTGGTCGAGGTCGTGCGAGGTTGAAGCCATCGATCACAGAGAATAGCCATAGACGACGAGGCTGTGACAATGATCACCAGCACCACGATGAGGAGAATGTCGGAGTGGTCCATGATGGTCCATGGGTGGTGCGCCGAGAGGTTGCGCAGCACTTGGCGTAGCACATAGAAGAAGTGCAGTAGCACCCATCCATCCTTTTGACACAGAGAAGAGCACCGGTGCCGCATTCCATGAACGTCCTTGACGTAGTGACGAGTCACCTGTCATGAGGGCTTCTTCGTCGAAGGCATCCGTAGGAGGTGGAAGCCGCTTCATCTCAAGGTTGCGACCACAGTTCCAGAACTGAATGATGCCAGTAGACAACCAGCGCATCAAACATGGGCTGACCATAGTTTTGGTCAGTGCGTCGGCAGTGATGGCTTCCGTTGGTGTCAGGATAACCCAACGTAGCCTTCCACTAGCCCTGGCTTCTCGATGGGCCATGATGTAGAGCCGCTGGGACTTATCCTGAGGCAAAGTCCGCGTCCCGGTGGTGAGCTCAAAGAAGTCGCGGCAGTCGGTGTGCGCATCGACTGGGAAGAATTGGCTGCCGGTCTCCTGGATAGACAGTAGTTCTTGAAGAGACGGTTGGCGGCTGCAAAGTGATTTCCGCCAATCGCGTAGACACCAGTGTAGCTGCCTCCAGACCAGCAATGGCCGCAAGAGTCTCGCCATGGCTCGTGCTGTAGCTGACCCGCTTTGCCTTTGTGGATTGAACGTGTAGGAGCTGGGCCCGGCCTGATAAACGTTCGGCGGCAAAATGATCTTAGCATTCAATGTGCTCCTCCTGGATGTCGACAGAGTCAGACATGAGGACGATCAGGACACCTTCCTGGGCGTAGTTGCGAGTAGCCGAGGCAGCTGAAGCTTCGTGGATGCACACGATTCGGTAGTTCAAGTCTCGTGGCAGTGCGCGGTAGTAGATCGCTGCATCCTTGTCCTCCTTGGCCCTTACGATGAGGTCGTTGGCTGAGCGGAGGTGCTGCACCTTGGCCTTGGTGACAACAGATTGTAGTGAAGAAAGTTCTGCCAAAACATCCGGCCGTGTCAGGGATGTCCACATGAGACCGCCAACGATGGAGCGAAGGGTAGTGACCTCTTCCGGAGTGAGGTCGCGGTCCTCGTCGTCGTTCTTCGCCACCTCTGCTGTTTGCAGCATTTCCACATAGTCCTTCTGGTCGACCTTGAAGCCATCGCTGAGCCGTGAATAACGACATCCACAGTGCATGAACGGAAGCTTTTGTCGGCTCAGCTTCCCGAACTTTTGCAGCATCTGCTCGAAAGTAGTGTCGAGCCAGAGTCGCTTGCCACGGGCTGCGAGGTCGTCGACGTGTGTAGTCAAGGAGGAGGTTGGCCAGCGTCCAGGTTTTGCGGCCGGCCAATACCAAAAACATTCATCGAAGTGTGACTGGATGCCGCCAAGCTCGCGCAGAAACTTGTGGAGGAAGAGCTGCCACGCCAGAGGAGCCTCACTGAGCCCATAGACTGGTTTCAAACAGAGCAGCACCCAGTCGGCCAGGTCCTCCTCGGGAATGGCGAACTTCTTGGAGAGTCGCCGTAGGTGTCGCCAAACGTTGCGAGGTGGAACGATGGCTATCAGGCGCTCCACAGTGTGAAGCCCAAGTGCCTTTAGACACTTCCAAAGTTCCTTGTATGTCAGACCCTTCAGGAAAGCCCCAGCAACGTCCCATGACTCAACATCATCATTGTTGTTTGCAGCGGCGACCAGAATCAAACGCTGAGAGAGCCGAGTGGCCGTTGATGAACGATTGTTCATCATTGACTTCCAGGGGTCGTGGCATCCCCTCACGCACATGCGTGATTTGACCACTCTTTTGAGGTCGGCGCCCTTCTTCCATTTGCGAACCCAGATGCCATCGATGATCGCACAGTTGGTTGGAAGTTCACTGCGACGCTTGGGCTCAAACGCGTCCTCGGCCACGAACTGACCGATTTCCTTGAAGTCTGCCTCCTCAACCTGAGGCCAGATGTCATAGACCTGGTCCTCTTCGATGTTGTCGGTGGTGGAATCGACTCGGGATATGCTGCCGGTAGCAAGATCGGCGTGCCAGCCAGAGGATTTCATCTCTCTCTCTCTCAGTCGCGCAGAGCAAGTCCACAAGTGAGACTACTCGTCAGCAGCCCTTTCAGCTGATTAACGCAAAACTTCTAACTGAGCCCAGGATCTACGGTTTTGAGCTAACGGCTGTAGGGTCCTCCAAAGGTCAGTATTACCAAAAAATCTGGAATGGGCAGCAGCCACCTCTCTTTCTGTAGGATGGTGATAGATATCGTGGTGTATTTGGTAGGGGCGGGGAATAGGGGAATTCGAGGAAAGTATTTGATAGCGTTGGTACGCTTGCGTCATGGTCAATTCGGCCCAATGTATGCGAGGGTGGCCAGGTCTTTTCCTATGGAGGCGTCTGTAGGCATGTGCTGTTTGGTAGGTGGAGATGTGTTCGATTGAATCTTCATGTCTGAGGATATGTCCGAGATAAGAGATCCGGGATGAAATGATATTCTGTGATGGAGATAGAAGTTTGGGGGCGTACTCATAGGCAAGCTGGGATAAATATTCGTTGGAGCATTCTGCCTCCGATGGTTCCAAGACTTTATGATAAAAGGAACTTTTGATGTTGAAGATCTGTCTAAGGACCTTGTAGTGTAGCTTGTTCAGTTTAGTGAGGTCAGGTTGTAAATACATCTGCGATTCCGAGCCATACAGAAGGATGGCCAACACGATCTGGGAATGAACTAGCAGCTTTCGCTTAATGGTTATGGAGGGGTGCCTAAAGAAGTCATGTAGACATTTGGCCGCGTGCGAGGCCTGCGCATATCGCTTTTTAGCGTCCGCTTTGGCGGCTGAGTTATGAGTTAGAACAGCTCCTAAGTAATCGGCGTGGGGTTTAGGATCTATGCGGAGTTCTTGGGGTAGCTGTGGGTGGCTTCTCATGCAACAGAAGTCACATGGGCAAGGGTGGGTTGTGGTATCGGTTAGGTATATGGGCAAATCAGTGTTGATACAGAGAAGCTGGCACTTTTCGTGATTCAAGGACATGCCCCTTTTGTAAGAGTGGGCCTGTAATGTGTGAAGAAAACGGTGTAGGGACAGTCTCGTGCGAGATAATAAAACTGTATCGTCGGCGTACTCTATATCTGTAAGGCGAAAATCGGTAGTAAGTACTGAAGGTCGGGGGCCATACTCTGCCACGTACGCTGTGTACGTATCATGAAAAAGCACTGAAAGGGTAATGATAAACAAATACGGCGATAAGGGGCATCCCTGGCGGATGCCCTGGGCGAAGGCTTGCGGGCGGGACGTATAGCCCGCGTCCTTCACTCGAAAATGACAGTCTTCGTAGATTGACAGTACCGGATTAATGAATGTATCGGGGAGACCTACTCGCTGCAGTGCGTTGCGCAACGCTGGGTGGGAGACTGAGTCAAAAGCCTGTGACCAATCAAGGAACAGAGCATAGAAGGATTCCTGGTGTCGCTCATGTAATTCAAGCAATCGTCGAAGGACGAATAGAGGCGTAGAGGTGGATTTGCCGGTTCTAAAGCCGAACTGAACCGGCGAGATACGGTCATCAATAGCCGTTTTTAATCTGTCATGGAGAAGACAAGCATACAACTTGTAAACCGTGTTGATCAATGAGATGGGGCGGTAGCTTGTAGGGAGAGTGGGGTCTTTCTTTTTACCCTTAAAGATCATTACTATGCCTGCCACCTTCCAGGATTTAGGCGAGATTGCCTGCGTAAAGGTTTTGTTAAAGTGCGCCAGTAGCGCAACATGAACCGATCTAGGCGCGAACTTCCAAATTTCCGCCGGCAATTGATCGGGGCCAGGGGCTTTGCGATTCTTGAGGCGCGCCAGCGCCCTTAATAGTTCGGGTTCCGTAAATGGACTGGTGTCAATGGGAGCCGGGGGGAAAATAGGTTCGGAAGGGAGTTCTGGGAGGTTTCTGTGATTCCAGACTTTAGTGGCTAAATGGCTAGCCAAGACATCGGGTTTAGCGGCTTTGGTGGACATCTGGCCATTAGGTTTGCGAATTCCTTGGGTTCTTGGTGTGTAGTCCTTACGCAGAAATTTGAGAGTGGACCATTGCTTTGAGGGAGGGCCTTTAGAGTCTTGGAGCAGGTTATCGCACAGGTGTTGTTTTTTGTCTTTACGGGCACGTCGTTTGATGGCTTTTCGGAGTTTTTGCAAAGCTTCGTGGTCATCCGGGGAGGTCGAGGAAATGCGATCGATGAGTCGTTTGGTCGGTTCCGATAAGTATTCTTTATGGTAGGTGCGTTCCTGTTTAGTGCGGGGCGCTATCTTCAGCGCAGCTTCCTGG